ATTTTCTTTTTGGTGACTGTACTTTTTTTTTTTTTTTGGGGGGGGCTGTTTTTCTAATTGTTGGATATTTTGGGTTAAGATGTTTATTTTGGCTCTTTTTTCTTTTTCGATGTGTACATTTATTGCTATAAATTGGCCTCTGATCATAGCTTTTTATTTATTTGTTTTAAATTTTTAGAATTGTTTTTATTGTGCTTTTATGTGTAAGTTTACAGAGCAGAGTTTGTTTTACATACAACATTACATGTACATTTAATTTCACTCCCCATTTACTATCCCTAACCCTAACCCAGTCTCCTCCCCTCCCTGCCCAGTAAGCCCCCTCCACCCATGCCCCTTATAGTTATGCACTCCTGTGTGTCCTGCATTTCCTCTGTGTGAATATTGCCCCTCTGGTGTCCTGTGGTCAATTGCTCTAAGGGATGCATTTCCATAGAGTATGTGGATACGTCACCCTGAGTTGAGTGGTCTGCGTGTACATCTTGTTTACTACTGGGCTGAGAGCTAGCCCCTGAGAGTGAGTTTTATTCCAGGCCATAGTATTGGGGGGTCTTACTAGACTCCATCCAACTAGTAATTCTGGTCATTATTGAGTTTTTGGATTTTGTTCCACATTTTTCCTCCCATTTTATCCAGGATCTCCAGATTTGATCCTTTCCTGAGTGGTTGGCATTTGTATCTGGGGACCATCTAGTTCTTCTGGTCTCAAGAGTCATCATGTCCTAGGTCCGATTGCTTCCAAATACCCTTATTTTTTTTTTTGTTTTTTGTTTTTTGCACTCTTTTTTGCTTCTGATGCTAGGAAACCATTAGCTGCATTTTAGATGGTTACTTGAAACTTTTAAGACTCCAGTCAGTACTCACCAATGTAGGATGAGGAACAAGACTTTTATGTATTTTGTTGTGCCAATTGAGTTTGGTGTCCTCCAGTACTATGGTCCTGAGTAAGTAGATCCATTGGATCTCTCTCCCACAGTGTCTGGGTGTCTGTGAGGGATTGCTTTATGTCTGTCTTCTGTTGTTTCTGTAAGGATTGCAGGGATTTTGTATCACTGCTACCTGTGCAAGATTAGCCTCTGCTAAATCTATCCTTGATCTAGAGTATACTCCTGTTCATTGACCCCCACCTGATCTTCTCTTGTGTGTTGATCTCTTGTGTGTTGATCACATAACATATCTTAGATGTTTGTGTGTTTATCTGTAGCCTGGTGTTTGGTGTTAATAGTAATGCAGTATTGTGGATGTACTGGTTGGTATTAGCACCTGTCGTCTATCTCTTATGTGCACAATTCGGTGTCCTTGCTGTCCCTAATGTTATCATGGTAGTCACAGATTCTTTCTATACATCCCTCCCCTTACCCATGCCAGCGTGTGGGCTCCAACTAGCCCGAAATTAATCCTTCCCCTTCCCTACACATCCTGGTAACCTACAAAATGAGTTCCCTTTTTTAAGCAAACCCTTCTTTGTCTTTGTACAGTAATGGGCTCATATAATATTTGTCCTTCTGCAACTAACTTATTTCACTCAGCATAATGTCCTCCAGGCTCATCTACATTTTGAGATGATTTGCATATCCTTCATTGTTCTTTAATGTAGCATAGTATACCATTGTGTGAATGTGCCATAATTTGGTTATCCATTCATCTATTGATGGACATTTAGGTTGTTCCCATCTCTTTGCTATAGTGAATTGTGCTGGAATGAACATAGGTGTGCATATGTCTGTTCATACGCTGCCTTTCACCTCTTTGGGATATATTCATAGTAATGGAATTGCTGGGTCAGATAGTATTTCTGTTTTCAGTTTTTTAAGGAAACACCATACCCTTTGCCACAATGGTTGTACCATTTAACAATCCCACCAGCAGTGCTAGAGAGTTCCAATCTCTGGTCATCTCGCCAACATTTGTTATTTTCTGTCCTGTTGAACTTTGCTATTATTGCTTGGGTGAGATGATACCTCATCTTTGTTTTGATTTGCATGTTTCTAATGACTAAAGATCACGAGCAATTCCTCATGTGTTTGTTGGCTGCCAGATTATCATCTTTAGTGAAGTGTCTGCTTAAGTCTTTTGCCCAGTTTTGAATTGGGTTGTTTGTATTTTTGGTGATGAGGTGTTGAAGTTTTCTATAGATTTCGGAGATAGTCCTTTGTCAGATATGTCATAGGCAAATATTTTCTCCCAGTCTGTAGGTTCTCTTTTTACCCTTTTCATGAAGTCTTTCAGTGTGCATAGGAATTTAATTTTTAAAAGGTCCCAGTCATCTAGCTTCTCTTCTACTTCCTGTGCATTCTACATTATATTTAATAGTCTATGCCATAAATGAGGGCTCCTAGATTTGCCTCTATTTTATCTTTGATGAATTTTATAGTTTTGGGTTTTACATTTAAGTCTTTGTTCCATCTTGAGTTTGTTCTTGTATGGGATGAGGTATAGGTCTTATTTCATTTTCCTGCAAGTGGATATCCAGTTTTGCCAGCCCCATTTGTTAAAGAGGCTGTGTCTTCCCCATTTAATGGGTTTTGGACCTTTGTCAAAGATCAGGTGTCCATAGATGGATGGGTCTGTTTTTGGACTTTGGATTCTGTTCCATTGGTCTGTCTATCATTGTACCAATATCACGCCAAATCCAGTCCATTTCAGCTCGTTAATGCTTAGGATATCAATCTTCATGCGTTCCATTTCATCTTTGACAACTTCCAGTTTTCCTAGATTCATATTTTGTACATTCCATGTTCCAGTTATTAACGGATGTTTGCAGCTGTTCCTCCTCAATTTGAGTCGTGCCATGTCAGCAAATGGAGGTCCCGCAGATTTAATTTACCCATATCATTAAGGTTGCTTCTACTCTGATAAGGCAACTCTTTGCCAGTCGTACCTTGAGTGCCTTCTGACCTAAGGGTCTTGTCTTCCTGTGCTGTATTGGACAATGTTTCCAGGCTATTCATGAATTTTCCCAGTAATGTATCAGACAGTGTTTCTCTGCTATTCATAAGGTTTCTCTGGCCAATTCTTTGAGGAGTAGGTGGTCTCTTTTCTTCCCAGTCTGTCTCATTCTGTAAGCTGTGTTGAAACCTGTGTACCATGTGTAATCCTGCTGGCTTTTGAAACACTGATGGCACAGCCTGAAGACTCACAGCAACACGCAAGCTACCACGGGACGATCAGCTGACAGACAAGTTCATCTCCTTTAGCTGTTGGAAACCTCTCCACCCTCCCCTTACCTGATTCCTAACTGCATCCTGCCACTTTTGTCATCGCTGGCAGTTCCCTCCCTTTCCTGCCTGGGGGGTTGGGTCCTGCTTCCGGGCCCCTTACCTGGATCCTGCTGCTTTTGTCATTACCAACAGTTCCCTCCCTTTTCTCACCTCGCACGTGAAAGGTCCCTGGTTCGGAACTGGGCGGGAGCACTAATACCTAGGATATCTATTTTTATGTGTTCCATTTCATTTTTGACAACTTCCTGTTTTCCTAGATTCATACTTCATATATTCTGTGTTCCAGTTATTAATGGATGCTTGCGTCTGTTTCTACTCATTTCAAGTCATTCCTTATCAACCAATGGAGGTCTGAAAGCTTTACTCTATCCATATTGTTAAGGTCATCTCTACTCGGAGGAGTCAGCTCTTCCCTAGTCAGATTTTGATTGCCTTCCGATCTGATGGGCTCATCTTCTGGCATTATATCAGACAGTGTTTTAGGGCTAGTCATAAAGTTTTCCAATAATATATCAGACAGTGTTTAAGGAGGTAACATATGATAAAGAGATGATAAGAACTTACTGTATTGAAGGAAAAAGTACAAGCCACACTGAAGGTAGTGGAGAAAAACAAAGCTCTAGGAACTGATGGAATACTAATTTAGATGTTTCAACAAACAGATGCAATGCTGGAAGTGCTTACTCATCTATGCCAAGAAATTTGGAAGATAAGTTACCTGGCTGAAAGACTGGAAGAGATCCATATATGTGTACATTACAAAGAAAGGAGACCCAACAGAAAGTGGAAATTATTAAACAATATCATTAATGTCACATGTAAGTTAAATTTTGCTGACAATAATTAAAAAATGGTTGCATCAGTATGTTAACATGGAACTGCCAGAAATTGAAGCTGGATTCAAAAGTTGACGTGGAACAAGGGATATCATTGCTAATGTCAGATGGATCTTGGCTGAAAGCAGAGAATACCAGCAAGATGTTTACTGTGTTTTAGTGACTATGAAGAAGCAGTCAGCTGTGTATCATAACAAATTATGGATAACATTATGAAGAATGGGAATTCCAGGATACTCACTTGTACTCATGTGGAATCTGTACATAGATCAAGAGACAGTCATGTGAACAGAACAAGGGGATACTGCATGTTTTAAAATGCAGAAAGATATGTGTCAGATATCTGTTCATCATACCTACTCAGTCTGTATGCTGAATAAATAATCTGAGAATTGGACTATGTGAATAAGAAGGCATCATCAGGATTGGAAGAAGACTCATTAACCACCTGAGATACACAGATGATACAACCTTCCTTGCTGAAAGCCAGAAGGACTTGCAGTGCTTACTGATGAAGATCAAAGATTACAGCCTTTAGAATGGATTACACCTCAACACAAAGAAAACAAAAATCCTCACAGCTGGACCAATAAGCAACAAAACAGTCAGCAAAAAAATGAGGAAGATCCTTAAGGAGCTGGATTGATGCAGTGTCTGCAGCAATGAGCTCAAACATAACAATGATTAGGGGGATGGTACAGAACCAGCCAGTGTTTTGTTCTATTGTGTATATGGTCACTGTGAGTCAGAACCAACTCAGTGACATGTAACAACAGCATGTATATATTTATATTTAAAATATATCATTTAAAATGAAATATAAAATTTTATTTTTGGAGGAGTTTAAAATTGCAGAAATGTAGCAAAATGGTTATGCCTCTTGGTTTATGATATGTTCTTTGAATCCATGTAATCTTCAAACGGATTTCTTATTTGTTTTTAGGCAGCAAGAATTATCGCCAAACTAGCTGCATGGGGAAAAGAACTGATGGAAGGCAGTGACTTAAATTACTATTTCAACTGGATAAAAACTCAGCTGAGTTCACAGGTAAAAGAAATTTCTTTTGGTATCTTTGAAAGGAATATAACATCCATGTTCTTGTAAGCTATATATGTTAAATTATAAAAAATTTAACACCATTTTGAACTTTATAAATAAACCAAACTGCTTCTAAATTTGGTAGCATGCTTCACCTTTTCTCTCTTTAACTGGATGCAATACAAACCTTTCTTTGTTTTCTGCCCTTTGGGGACTTCCCACTTATACTCTTTAGTGGCCAGGTAGCATCTTCATTCTAGATGGCTGGCATGATTTCGCAGGTTGGAACACTGAAAGGACTCCTAATACTCCAAAGTACACACTCATGTAAGCCTTTTAATGAAGGCAAAGGTAACTGCAACAGGGAAAAGAGAGCACAGGCAAGATTGGGGTGAGAGACTTCTAGCCACAGTTCCCTGTGCCGGCCTCAGGATGGTGTCCACCAAGATTTGTGCGAGAAATCTTGTTTTTGGGAGAGCATCTAAAGGTTTCTAGTGAGATTCTGTTATCCCTTCTGGTGACGTAAGCAGGACAGGTGATCTGTCTGGTTATACCAGTAAACACATTGGCTCTGGGTGTTGCCAGGGGATCATTAGCAAATCCACTTGTCCTGGCAAGGAACCAATCCCAGGTTTCAGGGATCGCTAGACTCTAACAGAGTCGTCCAGTCCAATGTAAAATAACTGTCACTCATAGCGATGAATGTTCATTGATTTGGCATTATCATTTTGTAATTGAACATTTGTAACCTAAAGTGAAAAATGAAACCTGCTTACTGGTTATCTTTACTGCTTTTGGGCCTCTAGAGCTCTATTTCTCCACAGAGAAAAATAGCTTTGTTGTTTCATGACTAGTGAAATGGCAAGTTTTCTGTATTTGTCTTCATAGTTCCCTAGAATGGGGCAAAACTCATTATACTTCTTGAGGCTCTGTGAAATGTACTTCGTTTGTTTGTTTCTAGTTATTGTTTGGTGGTAAAGGGGAGACTTGGTGGTAATACTCAGGAAAGGAGTGAAGTGAAGGAAGATGGGGAGGCGTATTCTGGGGAAAAGAAGGTAGAAGAGAACAAAATTTTGGTGGAGGAATGGGTGACACAAGGGTGAAATGGAAGAACGTGGCCAAGAGAAAATGACAGTCATTGTCTTAACATTAGATTACAAATAAATGTCTATTTTAAATATAGTTTTGAAAAGCTATAATTTAGATTTTCTGTGTCTTTATTTTAATAGGTTTTAATTTTAGGCATAAGAGAGGGATACCTTAACATTTGCTTTTATTTGCCTTAGTCTTACCATTGATTCCCTTGTATATTTTTTAGCTGGGGGTTGGAAGGGACTTTAATTGGCTTTTATGTTCAGATAGGATATTTAAGAGATTCTTAAACAGAATTATATACATATTTTGTCACGTCAGTAACATTGATTTTAATACATTTTTGGCTTAGTTTTTAAAAAAATAATTTCAGAAGAGCTACAAATTAGCAGATTTGTGAGGTATTTTAAAAGAAACCAACATGTTTAGAATATGAAAAATAAATGTGTGAAAATGACATTTTATGTTTGTAAATCGTTTTAAGTTTGTATATCATTGGTACCAGAATTCTTAAATAGGTATCCCCCCCCACCATTTTTTTTTTTTCTTCCTTTTTTGCTATTTTGAAATTAGTTCTACCTTTAAACAAGCTATGTTTGGTTTAGTGTTAGAAGTTTGGTATATTGATAATGAGGCTTTTGTGTAGGTGAGTTCATAAAATGAAAACTGGTAAGAAAGAATGTATATTATATTTTTCCATTAACATTTTGGGTGGTTTTATTTTAACTTTTCCTCATAGGAATAACATTTATATTGTTCCTCACAGATGATTTGATTGTCACTTTCAGAGTGAATACTGTGGTGGTATCCATGTCCAACATTTGGGGAAAATACTTTGTCACTACTGAAAGCAGATATTTCAGTGTCTAAACAGTGTTGTTTCCTATTCACAGTATTGGATAACTACCCTTGAGGTTTTTTTTTTTCTTAATATATTTCTAGTATATTCTTTTATCACTGAGTCTTTGGCTTTATGAAGTTCTGTGTGGTATTTCTGCTTTGCAAGTTTTTCTGCTACAGGGTGTGACTTTTTAGAGTACTCAGCCACAGGTCTGACTTCGTTTTCATGGAGTCTGGCCACTGCTTTTGCTTGGTCCTGGGTAGCACTGCCTCTCTTATTGTGGGTAGACTCTTCCAGAGCATTTTAGTAGGATTAAATTACAGACCTCTTGTTTATAGAACAGAAAGATACAATTATTTGGGATTTTATTTACTGCTTTGCTCACTTGTCCCGTGATGGTGCTGTGTCTGGAAGTTCTCTTTTTTGTCGTAAGTGTTTTCCCCTCATAAGAAGTACTACAGTTTTCATGATTCTAGTACAAATAAACTTTTAAAAGGTCCAAGTTAGTTGGAAGTTTAGATATGTTTGCTCTTTGCCTTTTTAGTGACATTTAGGATCCTTTTTTAGTAGTTTGGAGCATCGTGGTTGGGTTATGGAGACCAATGGCTGGCGCCCAGTAGAGAATATTTATTGAATGAAAGAAAATAAAAATTTTCTGTAAGAAATTCAGTATCACTTTTCTCTTGTACTTTCAAGCCTCTGAGTTTCTACCTTAAACTTTCTTTGGTCATTTCCATATATATTTGAGATTTTTGATTATCATTATATCTTGTTAGCATTGCTATGGGTAGCATAATTTTAATCCGATAGTGTATCTTCCCATCATTGGGCACTTATTTCAAAAACTTTGCCACAGAATGTAGATGCATATAGATCATTGAATGTAGATAGTTCAGTTTAAGGCAGTTGTCTTGTTGGAAGAATAATTTACTAAGTAAATCTCGAATCTTGGCAGTTTGCATCCACTTCACTTATGAAATTTAGGTGGAGCTGGTATTTAGTTTTTGTATTATTCCATTTTTAGTAATTTATTAAGATTTTATTTGGAAGAGTATAATGATATTTAGAACACTTTTCATCATCCCCATGTTAATGGTAGACTCTATTAATTAGGATAGAAAGAAAATTATAAATTAGCTTAGCTCCCTTTCCTAAGATGATAAATTAGTATAAAGTTAAAAACAAAACTAAGTAATAAGTTATTTATTTTGTAATAGAAACTACGTGGTAGCGGTGTCGCTGTTGAAACAGGAACAGTCTCTTCAAGTGATGTAAGTATATTCCTTCTTAATTCACTGGCCTCCTAACACTCTGAATTATTTTGAGTCATAAACATCTGGAATTTTTAAAAAGTGTTTACTCATTTCGAAAATGTAAATTCATGGATTTGATGTGTCACCTCTGGTTAGGTTAATTGTATTGCAAAACTAAATATAAATATTTGTGGTCCCTTTTTCTTTTGGTAGGTTTGAGACATTGCTTCTTTCTGTTGCTCTCCCCACCCCCCTGCCCCAGGCCACTTTATTTTAGGCCTAGAAGTCAAAACAAGAGTCTGAATTCAGTTGTACAACTGGAGCTAATAAATTTAATGTTACTGTCTTCAGTAACCAACTTCAGTTGTGTGATAAACTGTCTCATATTTGTCTTAACAGATAGGTGGAACATGTTAAACAGTGGAAAACAATGACATTACCCCATATTGAGGGCTTTATGTATGGCTGCATGGTGCCAGAACACTTTTTTTGGCCAATCTCTCCCCACACTTTTGTAGAGCTAAAAGGTTAAAGGTTTAAACTAATCATGTTAAGTTCCTATCTTAGCTAGTTACCTGCCCCATTTGGAAATGTTTTAACTTTGCTGTGCTCAGGAACTAGGAACTAGAATACGTTTGGCCAAGTAAGCATCCCATGATTGGAGCCAATTGAGAGAAGGGTAGGGATGAAAGATAGAAACATAAATGAAGGGTATCTGGCTTCCTTTATTGGAAATATATCTGGGAAACAAGAAGGCATCATAAGAGGGTAGTATCTACAACCTGCCTGTAATTGAGTTAATGTGGAAGCTTTGTAAAAGCCATTTAGTGTCCTTGTTAATTGCTGAGCTTCCATAACTTGTATGGAACATACCTATGTACGTATTGTAGGACTACAGATGACAGCAGAGTCCGTTTTCAAAGTCAGGAGCTGGGCTTCTTTTGGAGAATGGGTTGAAAATTTTAATAGTCTTAGGATAGAAAATTGCTGTTAGCTTTCTAAACTGGAATTAGAACAAGGTGTTGAACTAGACGAGCAATCTTGGGGCCATAGGGAGTGTGGGAGGTGGTGTTACTATGTAAATTTAAAGTCTAGATATTCAGTCATTAGCAGGTGTTTAAATTGGGAATTTTATAAGACTTGAATTTCTACCAGTCTGAATTTTTGAAAAATTGTTTAGTTTCAGAATTTTAGGAATAAGTAGATATTTTCAGAAAGAGTTTTCAGATTCATTATCTTATAAATTTATTTAAATGGCTGTTAAAGTATGTGTATGTTACCAAACTTTATATAATAAGGTTAAAGTTCTAATGACATGATCATTTTATTTTCATCTTTTCTGTCAGTGTATTGGAAGAACAAAACTCATTAATTGAATTTACAGTGCATTTAGTTAAAGTGATTAAACTTGTAGACTTGTATATATATGTCCCAAATGTAATTAGCATCAGTGACAATTGTAAGTTAAAAAAAAAAGATGGCCTTTGATTTCTTACCGCTTTCCCTTTAGTGCCCCTAAACCTACACATATTTTCTGTCTCTTGAAGATATTTTCTTTTTTCAGATGGCTGTCAAGTTGAAAAGCAGACCTCAATAAATTGAGAGTAGAGTGTTAGCCCTTCTTTTCATAATTGTATTTTAATAGTGGTATTTTAATCTGGTAGCTAATGTTTATTGAACACTTACTGTGTGCTTGTCACTGTTTTATTCATTTTACATGCACATACCCTTTAGTGTGGATACTCATTCTTTGAGGTATGTCATATTGTTAGTCATATTTTATAGATGAGTGAAGTGAGGCAGCGAAAAGAGGGATACTGTCTTGTCCAGTGTCATAGAACTAATGAGTGGCAGAAACGTCAAAGGAATAAATTGTTTAGTGACTGAATTACTTTTGAAACAACTGAACTTTAGTAGTATATTTAGGCATTCTCAAGTCATATAGCCTCCTCAGACTCTTTAAAATTGCAGTTATCCTATTATCTCATTGCTGTCCAAAGTTGATTCCTTAAATTTCTTTAGGTTTTCAGAGCAGAGCAAAGCAGTTGGTAAACTGCATTACATCACATTGCCACTGGATGTCAGTATAAAACAAACAAAAAATAGTTTTATATTACAAAATGAGAAACAAGCATAATTCAACATTCTGACCTTTTGAAATGGCCATGAAGCATCATAATAAGTTATGAGTAGGTCGTTGCAGGGAGCTCTGGTGGTGTAGTGCCTAAGGCATCTGACTACTAACCAGAAAGCTGGCGGTTCAAATCCACCAGCCACTCCTCAGAAGGAAGATTGGGCAGTCTACTTCTGTAATGATACTGTCTTGGAAATCTAAGGAGAGGTCGCTATGAGTCGGACCCAACTTGACGACAGTGAGTTTGGTTTTTTGGTTAGGTCGTTGCCAACACTGATATTTGAATGATATTGCATAAAGAGAATTTCTTTAAAATGCATTTTGTTGTCTTAACCTAAATTTGAAATTAATGAAGCTATGCCAGATTCTGTATACTAACTTTTAACTATGCATCTATTACTTGTTCTTGAATGTGAATTGTGAATCTTGTCCTCAGAGGCAGCAGCACATTGGGAGTTTTGATTGTTGTGCTAATACATTGACAGAGACTAGGGAGTTTTGATTGTTGTGCTAATACATTGACAGAGACTAGTGCTGTGGTCTTTCCCAGACTTGGGAGGGTCTAGAGAGAATCTGGGAATTGTTTATTTCTTTTTTCCTGAGCCTTGCTTTATTTACCTATCTGTGTAGGAGAGCAAATGACTCCTAACTCTAGCATTTGACTGCACCTTGGTCTTCACTCTATTTGTTGCAAATTCAATCTAACTTAGTTATTGTGGAATGACTTGGTTAGGTTGTAACTTATGTTGCCAGATTTGCCTTATTACTATCCTATTTTGCCTCTTTTTTTTTTTTTTTTAATTAGGATTTGGGTGAAGATTTACAGAGTAAATTCACTTTTCATACAGCAGTTTATATATACTTTGTCTCATGTCATTG